AATTTGATTGGAAAAAAAAATGAAAATATACAACTTCCTTTTTCAAAATAATATTATAATGAGGTACTCTGTAATAGCAGTATCATGATCCATAAATTATTGTGTTCATGATATAACGGTGACCACTGTTTTCGCTATCGCACTAGTTCATAAATAACTCAAAATATCACCATGTATAATATACTTTCAAATATAATGATCAAAAAATGTTTTCATCTCATATGGATAATTTCAAGTTATCGACACTGTACATTTTAAATGTGAATGTCATAATGATAGTTAATTTGAGAATAATTGTGAATTTTAAGTTATATTTATTACATTTTGTATTATTTAAAGTGTATAATGGCAGGGTTTGCTATTAAATGGTTTTAAATTTGAATGATGTATTTATTATTTTTTTAGTCATTTGCGTAGGTACCTATTTATTTCTCCATAGATTTGGGAGTTTTTAACCTCCTCCCCCATCGAAAAAAAAAAGGTCATGATAGTTTTATAAATTTGTCTATATTTGTGCACGATTTTTGAAAACAATGTAAGAACATTAATTTCTAAAATCTACAAGTCTATCAGTTAAATAAAATGTAATACGACATTGTTGAAGTTATTGCACATTGAATTTTACCGTGTATCGATGGACTATAAATAAAACAAATATTACTATATTTCACTATTCTGCATGATCGCCCACCACCAACCAGCGAGCGACCATCATATTTCCGTAGCTCTATATAATAATATGCACACACACGCCAGTTTATTCTGTGATCTATAATCTAAGCGATTGGCATTCTAGTTTCATCTTATAATCAAGACATCGTGAATTTGTGAAAATCGATAAATTGGAAAAAATGGACAATGGGTAATTTAGTAATAATTAGATTAAAATAAAATTATTATTACAATTAACGTGTCAATCTGCTATACTATCTGTATGGTAGCATCATTATAATCATTTAAGTGCATTAACTATTATTTTTTTAAATAAATGGCATTTATTTATATATTTGTAGATTGTAGAACAAAATACACAACAAATATATTTTTGTTGGTTTTAACTGTTTTAAGACTTATTAATTGAATACAGACCTCATCATAATAATATAACATAATATGTATAGGTATGTATATACTTTGTATACAATATATTATGCTTTAAGTGAGTTATGGAATTGAATTTTTTATTTCTCAAAACTTATCATTATATTATAAAAAAAAAAAATATAATATGGTTAAAGCCCTAATATTTTTGTTATTCACTTATTATTTATTTTATTATTTTTTTAAGTTTTGGAATTTACATTTGAATATTGGTTTAACAATAATTACACTCATCTATGTTGTCGGAATAAATCCAGAATAAGCCCTAAATACATAATTAAATAAAAAGCTGAAGGTAGATTTATTTTATAGAATGTATAAAAAAAAAAAAATAATAATAAATCATCAAATAAACGTAATAGTATTTTTAATTAGTTTTAAATAAAAATTTACATTTTTCAGTTGTTTATGAATAACGAATAAATTCCATATAAAAGAAAACCGTTCCCATGTAAGAATCATAACTATGCTAATATTATTTACTTCTTTACCGAGTAATGAGCAAGCAGCTGATACATAATTTTTTTACTAAAACAAAAAAGTTTAATGTCATATGTATTAACTATAAGAATCATATAAACATTACCTGTTCTTTAAAATCACATACAAATATACAATGCATTTGTTTGTGTTTCATTTGTTGAATAAATTATAGTTATTTTTTACATAAGAATTTCCGTCACTGCACAAAGTTTAAAGCGGATTAATAATATCTAATGCGAAAACGATTACAATATATTATTTAAAGTAAAATTTTGCTGGAAAAAAATATAAAATGAAAATAATTTTACATCACAAAAATAATAAATGGTTTTATGAGTTAGAATGTTCATATTATACAAAATGTGAGCGTTTCCTCCGGGCATACATAAACATAACGCAACAGTGTACAAAGTGTAACGATATACGAAAGAAAAGATTTAATATGTTAGTAAACGCTCGTGAAAGTGTTATATTAACTGTTAAAAATCAAATTAACAATTAAGATCGAGTGTAATGATTAGGAGCAATGAGCATACTTATTTTAGTGGCTAGGAAGTATAAGACAAATAAAGTCACGTTTATACAATTACGCATTGGGCACGATAAACAAAGAAAAGTTGTTTTTATGGTCGTTGGTTGACCGAACCAATACAATCAAACGGTTTTAAAAATAATAACAAATTTATTGTGGAGATGGTATAGTCTCTTTATTTTCAAAACACTGTCCATTTTAACAGAGTAGGTACGTAATTTATCATTATAGGTAGCTATATAAACGATGTTATATTATGTATTAAATTCAACCAAAGGTTTGAAATGGCGTATTGAGAAAAGAATAATAAACGGCATTAAATATTTATAAAGTAACGAGTTGTTAGTAGATACTTTAAACTATAAATGGTCTTAAATAATTACTATACTACACAACGATTTTCGGGTCCATTAGTCATTTCTAATTCTTTCTTTCATCAAGAATGTAGAGATGTACGCCTGGTAAATATACATACTTTTTTACCACAACAATTACAAAGCGAATCCTTAAATTATACGGCTTTTCGAGGCTAATGTTTCAAAACATAACAACAGAATGATTATAAGCCATGAAGTTTTAAATAAAGACTATACATATTAGGTACTTCGATCGTGTATTTAAACATCAGAACAATCTTGCATTATATATTTATATTTTCTGATTTTCGTATCAAATTGAGTTCTATATATAATTATCAATAGGTAAAATACATAGGTAAATTAACATTCTTAACTGATTTTTTTTATAGCAACAGGCCAGTGCCACACATATTTGAGTTACTTATTTTATATTTATAATTTTTTTTTATTTTAGATTTCTAGATAGAAGACAGTATCAAACCAATTAATTATGTAAAGAGAAGGTTCTAAAACCATAATTAGTATTGTTATTCGATTGTTAGCAATGAGCTAACAAAAATATGCAAAATCATAAAAACCATAAAAATATGTCTACCTATATAAGTCACAACATATCCAAAAATTCACATAAATATTTTATAATATATAATATGTTATTTCACATAATAATATATTGCATATTTCACAAAAATATATATAATACCGTGCAAGAAAAACATATATTTGTATTGTTAATTATAGTTTTATTTTATTATTTTTATTAAAAAATTATGACATTAACTATTATACGATACTTAAAACTAAAAATTTTATTTATGTCTGTTCTGATTTATCTGATTAGATTGATGTACGAATTTAATTTGCATGAATATTATACATTGTGATATAATTTATAATGATTAAAACAATTAAAATTGTGTTATTTATGTTCTTTATATAAAAATATTATAACATAATAACTATGTACGCATGCATAATAATATTTTGTGTTCATATTTATTATATAAATCAATTTACGATTCGTTGCTTAAAACGAAAAAAACGATAGTAGTAGGAATACGTTTGTACTTACTATAAAAAGAAAATAAAGAAAATAAATAATATGTAAGAAGTGAGTTGTGTGATTCCTGTGGGTGTACTAATCGCAGCGTAATATCAAATATTTTCAAAATTTACATTTTGAATAATATTATGTACCTGGGTTTTTTTTGCTCGGTAAATTACTTTAAAAAAAAATGTTACATCCCGACAAAAATGCGAACATAACGCGTAATAATAATATGCTCATAAGCCATTTTGAAATTTTATATACATAGCAGACGCATATTTCTATATACGGCCCATATGGGTATGCGTGTGTGTGTTCTATGATATTACAGATTGTTTTTCACATAATATTTTCCTTCAGCCTTTTCGTAAGTTCGTCTTTAGCTGATTATCTAGCACGAGCTCATCAACACACAAGCTGCAGCTACGACTGTTTTCGGTGAAATGTGTTCGCCCTGCTGACATTTGCCTCCCATCATTCCGCAACACGTGAATACAATATGATATAATATAATAATATTATTCCGTAAACACATTCCACAGTACATGCACGTGGGTTATACGCGTTGAATATAATATTAGTTACTCGCGGATGATAGTAGGGGAGTATACGCACACTAATGATCATTTACTACACACACAAGTACGATCAGCAAATATTATACCTAACATATTAATATACACTAGCAATATTATTTAAATTATATAAAATTATAATAGTAATATAATGTGCGCTTGTCATTATATTAAATGTAATATAATTGAAAAAAATCTTTTTTTTAATGGAAAAATGTGTGTCCACATGTAATATTATACCTAGTTGAATTATTGTAAGAAGTAAAGGGTTCCATTAAAAAAAAAAAAAAAAAACGGTTCAGAACTGAGAATAATACATTATACAAATCTAAATACCCGAAATCTAATTTCTTATAATTTATAATAATGTATCAACAGGTAGTTATAGGCCTTTGGAAAAATAAACACGCCTGAAATTCTAATATAAATTCCGGTCTACTGGAATGATGAACGTAATCGCTGGCTGGTAATAAACGACGTCGTAGGTACCTACTCGTCGTCAAGGATATTTTCGAATTTCTCGTTTACCGTGTCGGAAGGCACCGAAATGTAGTTCATTAGTAATAATTCAGAGTTCAATAATCATTCGTCAACACTCGACATTGAAATACATGAAAATAAGATGGTGACAATCACCCGTCGACGTTATAGTCTCGATTATATCGCTGCCGTTACCGTACTCGAAGTCTTAGGATGTATCATAATAATATATAACAAGACTTCGATGATCGATACCATTTTTAATAACGTACTGATGTATAGCGAGCGACGAGGGAGAGACGTCGTTGTCAGAGTCGCGGACTGCTGCGCGGCCATCCGTGATACGCCGTCAGGAGGTTAGCGGAGTTGCCGCCCGCCGATACCGCAGCAATAGATTATTGCCGGAGCAGTGCAGGTTTTGGATGAAGTTGACGAGCCGGCTGAGGGAGTTGAAGTCATGTGAACAGTTTCGAGGAGTTATAGTCGGTTGGCTGGATCCGGAAGCAATACACTATAGCGGACAACGAGCTCCTGCACAGTGCCGACGGAGTAGTTTTTCTTCGATGAGGCGACAGGTTAAACGCGTTTGTTTCGCCGAACATCACAGTCGAAGACGCTTTCGCGGAAAGGACGACGGCTGCGCAACGGGACCGGAGGATGAAGAGAAACAGCACAGCGCATGTTCTCCGGACATCCTCCGGCCACTCGGCTGCAGCTTCGACGACGACGGCTAGAGCCCTAGATGACGACGACGGCCAGCCAACACGATCGCCGTTTGTCGGGTCTCCTAGACGAGGAAAAACTACTTCGTCGGCATGCGGAGGGCGTTGTCCGAGTGTTGATTCCGACCAACTCCCCTTGACTGTTCAAGACTTCGATTCCCTTAGCCGGCTCGTCCTCTCCATCCAACACCTGCAAGTCCGTCCCCGCGCGGGTAATCGCAGTGGTATCGACGTGCTCCGACTCCGACGACGGTGCGTCTCCGCTTGAAGACGTATCACTGCACACCGGCAGACAGCCAAATAGTGTAGCGATTCCACCACACTCACAACGACGTCCTCGACCAGGCACGCCCGGAGGGGGGTTGTCAAATGCACCACCTGAGAATTTGAATAATTTGGATTTTTCAAATAAAAAAAAATATATAAAAATTCCTTCTGTGTTAATTTTTAATTTTTGTCCATGATTATGCTCAATGTAGTAGGTATATATATATATACCTATTCTAAGAACCGTCGTCTGTCCAACTTTAGTATATAGAGGGTACAGTGACAAAACAACGGTAATACCACGAGCCTATGAATACATTTATTTTGGTCACTAACGATATTATTATTAATTTCGTTATAAGGGGCTTCTCTACGGCTGTTATTTGAGGGGGGGCAACATTTAGGCAATTTTCAATCAATTACAGTTTACAAAGTGTTCCGTACGATCTATAAAAAAATTTCTGAATAATATTTTTTAAATATTAATTAAATATTATTTTCTGGTTTTAAATCGGACAACGTAAACTAACTTTAATTTTGTTAAAACTTATGGTCTTTTGAGCTAAAATTAACTGCAGTGGCGAGGAATAATTATTGTGTGTGATACCTATATTTAGTATTTAATAGGTATTCATATTTATAAAAATGTTAGGTATATTTAATTTATATCACACCAGATATATTTATTTTATATGAAGTAGAAAAAATACAATTTATATTGTTTCAGTTTTATAATAACTAATAAGGTTTGTTGAAAAACAAAATTTGATGTGTACAGGTTAAATATTTTTGTGTGAGGGGTAAATCGGAGTCTTCTGAGCGGAACATTCAAATGTATATTATTAGTCATGAGTATTCCATATTACTAGGTACTAGGTAGGTATATATAATATATTATGATATTGTAGCTGTATTCAAGTAATTAATTTTACTATTAATAAGTAGGTATTGCAGTAGTAATATTTTGAATTAATTTTTGACGAAAACATAGAATTTGGAAATGTTATTGTGGTATAGTCTAATCTGTGAACGAATTATTTAAAATTAAAAGTATACCTAAACTATGCACGCCTCGAGGTGGTATAGGTATAATATCATCGTATATCTATACTAATATTATAAAGAGGAAAGATTTGATTGTTTGTATTGAATAGGCTCCGAAACTACTGGACAGATTTTAAAAATTGTTTTACCATTAGAAGCCGACATTACCATTGATGAATATAGGCTAATTTAAAAAGTGAACTGATCACCCAGGGGAGGTGCTCAAACTGGAATTTTGAGATTTCTGATGGAAATTTTTGTTTATAAATGGTTGCCATGAGTGACGTCGTATAAAATGATTCGTTCTAGAAATTGCAATACAGAATTATAGTGAATCGTTTTAATTCGGTGGAAAGATAACAAACAAACCATTTATTATACCTATACATCGACGATTTGTTATTGTACACATACATATTCAATCAGTGTTATTATTATAATATTATGCGTCTATAAGCAATGATGGGTTTTTAAGCTATATAATAATAATAAAAAAAAAAAAAAAAACTATTTGCTTTACTTTTTAAATACAAATTATAATATAATAATATCCAACTATAAAAATGTGAAATGAAAATCTCTATACAGGCTAAATTCTGGATCTTCTTGATTTTTTTTTTTAAACGAAAGAGTTTTTTACGGAGAAGGTTTATACGAAAGAAAATTTTAGGAAAATCCACAGGTTTATGATAATATATTGGTGGCTATTGAGTATTGGTTAACCATGTTTGTTAAATTGTATTATTATCTTTTGTCAATATACATACAGTAGAACTCTGACTATCCGAACGCCAATCAAACGGACGTCCAATTAACCGGACGAAAAAAAAAAGGTCGTAAGCTAAAGATTATTTCATAATATTATGTTATGCCATTGATTTTATAATATACAGATAGGCCGTGCTATAGGACGAAATGGAAGCAAACACTTTAGTGCTATCGACGCTCGATAGGTGTCCTTGATGTATTTGTAAATAACTATTAATTAAAATAAGAATCCACAGCGTTCGAGCATATGGCTGGCGCGCGGTGTCAACGACATTGGTATGTGGAGTGGGGCCACGATTAAAAATATATCTATATATTATATTATCAGACCGCCCAGTTCGTTCGCCGTTACACATATTATCAGTTAATATCGTATATAACATCAATAAAAATGGTTTAAACATTATTAACTAATTTCTAATCGAGATACAAAAGACAAGTAGGCTAGGTATTTATTTATTTTTTTAATTACAAATAAATCAGTTTACAGTATAATTTGTTGTAATTTGATATTTTTATTGAATTACAATGATAAAATTAAATTTACCATGCACAATATTCATATTAATAATTACGTTTAAGCTAAAAATTACTTTCAATTTATAAAAAATAATTGTAATTCGAAGGTATTTACAAAATATTGATTGACAGTTAATAATATTTTCATTTATTAAAATGATAATAATATATTTGTCCTATCTTGTCAATAATTATTATGCCAATACAAAAAAAATAATTCTTATTTCTATAATCAATAAAACAATATTTCTATCACACTACTTGAGAATAATATAATCAATGAAAATAAGATCAAATTTTTTACCAACATTCATTTTTATAAGAACATTATTTACAAAATTTAAAATTACAATATTATAAATCTAAAATGTATCTATTATTACAATGTTTATTATAAAATAATTCTTTAACAATTAATAATTGAAAAAAAATTATAAAATTTAACTTTTTTAAACATGACTTAAAATTTTTAATTTTTCAATCTTAGCTAATTTAGATGTTGTTGCATATAGTTGAGTTTTTTTAAATATTTTACAAATTAAAAGTAATTTTATGATATATAATTTATTATAATATTATATTTATTATTTATAATATATTATAAAATCAATATTATTATCTGAGTACACGATAAATAGTCAAAATAATACTTCAATTTTCAACTTCAGTATCTTGTTCGATTGGAAAGTGAATGTAGTTGGTGCATTCGGGAAGTCAAAATTTAAAATTCCCAATAATTTCCACAAGCGCCGGAATTAAATACATAAAAATTAAAAAATAACGGGAATTTTTACGCAAAATCTGTTTCCAAAAAAATGATTTTGGTTTTTGATGTTACTCTAAAACAAATTAACGTATATACATGAAATTTTCACTGGTTGTTTATATTTGCATTTTCTATACACGATAAAATTTTTAAATTATTATGATTTGTTGTGAACTGTTTAGAGACATTTTCATTTTCCATTTTTTTTTTTTTTAGTTTTTTTTCTAAAAATATTAATTAAATTTTATTTGTTGGTTTCGAAAGCTTGAAAATTTAATAGAAGGCTCCTAGTATATAGCAGATGAAAAATATTAAAAATCCTTAGTCACAATTATTTTTATAAGCATTTAAAGTTCAAAAATTGACAAAATTTGGAAAAATCACGACAATCTAACTAAGATTTGAAAATCTAATACAAGATTACTCATAAGTTTGTCTACCTTCATCAATAAAAAAAATCTCTACCGGAAAGTCAAATTAAATTTTTATGAGCGTTTGAAATTCAAATTTTTACAACATTGGATATTCACTCAATTTCTCATGTAGCGATTTCCTTATTTTGTTGTAATTCAAAAACGAATAACTGTAGATACATGAAAATTTCACTGAATGTTCATATTAGCATTTCCTATACACTGTTCAATTTTGAAAATATTTTGATTCTTTTTTAGCTGTTTACGGACATTTTCAGTTTCCAATTTTTTTAGTTTTTTATTCTATAAATATCAATAAAGTTTTATCTGTTGGGCCAAAAAGTGTAAAAATTTAATACAAGGCTTCTGATATACTGTTACAATATCAGTTGAAAAATATTAAATATACATAGGCACAATTTTTTTTTATAAGCATTTAAAGATCGAATTTTGACAAAATTTATCAAAATCTCGAAAATTATCAATCATTGTAATTAATAAATTATAAAATGTTCAGTTTTTATAGCTAAAGATTCCAAATTTAAAACAAAGGTTCTCATAAATAGTTCATACTGTAACCAAAAAATCTAAAAAATATATGAACACAGTTATTTTTACAGACATTTTAAATTCAAATTTGGACGTAATTACATAATAAAAAACCTAGAATAACTATTTTAGTTATTTTGTTGTGATTGTATAATATTATTCGTGGGTACTTGAAACTTCTAAAGTATACTACTATATCTATGATAGTATCAGGGTTTGTTGTTGGTGTATAACGCGTTAGAAGTACCTAATGGATATTGGGATATGATTAATTTTTAATTTATCATAGGTAATAGGTCACTTTTTTTTTAATACCTTATATAGATATGTATATAATATGTCTTAAACCTAGACTGACATACCGTCTCCGCTCAGAATCGTTTTTCTTATACAATGATATTATTATATCATTGAATTCAAATTTAATATCATCTATAATACAGTGACCCACTTGTAACCTACTGTACAGCAGAGCACCTTTTTTTGGATTGAAAAAATTAAAAACTCTAAACTATTATGACGTATTAAGTTAAACTTCTCTTAATGTACACTTTACTATATACATTTTAAATTTTAATTATAATATTTACTATTTAATATATTTCAAAAATCTTGCCTTAGGATATTATTATACTATTGTTTATGTTGTCACTCATTAGTCAGTGCTAACGACATGTTACATCTCC